TCTCTCTCTCTCTCTCTCTCTCTCTCTCTCTCCCCCTCCCCCTTGACAAACTGGCAGGCTCTGTCTCCTAGAGGCCCTTCCGGGGATTGACGATGCAAACGAAAACAGGGCTGAGGCGACCTTTCCGAGGCTGTATGAGCTAGATTTTCCTAGCACGACGCCTCACAAGGTCACCCCAAATGTGGCAAAGTAGCTCCGACGGCGAGGTTCCTGGGTCTATGAACGTCACTCTTCGCCCAAGACTGAACACCGCTGGGCGAAGAGACCTATTCGAGTCTGCCTTGCCGTCATGTGCCTGGGTGGCTGACGACGTGGCGATACCCTCAACGGTGCCATCCTGGTGCCTCCGGGGTATTACTATGGACACTAAAATGGGGATCGCTTCAATCGCAACACCCATCAGATCGGAACCAAAACAAAGCCACCCTTCCGCGTAAGGAAACAAGGCTCACCAGGCACCCCACCAGAAGCGGCGGTAGGTGTCGATAGTGCGTTATAACTCTCCCGCGATGTATAATATCTATAAACTCAGAGTGTAGCGGGGAAAACACCTATATTAAGGGGAACTTGTGGCGATGACGAGATGTTTTCTCGATTGCTTACAGTTCGAACCAGGCTCCACCTATCCCTACCAGCAGTCTTTGTAAAATGTCTTCCCCGACCGGCATTTTGCCAACCCCACGGGTGCTTCCCCCCAGGGACAATCAGACGTACGGCAGAGGCTGGCCGACAACGCTCACAGGCAGAGCATGGTTGGCCGACAGGCTCCAGGCCGCACACCGCCAGAGAACACACTCCCCGACGTCGCATCCTCACGAGAAGTCGCCATTTAGGCAAAACTCCCCGTACAGCATGCCGACGCCAACACGGCGACCAACGCTACAGACGCAACGCACCTCGATCTCACCCAAAGAGTTGATGCTCGACGGACATGGCGTCAGCGATCACTCGACGCCACTGTTCACGGCCGACCAGGTCCCGTCCACCGTGTCCACGTTCGAAACCAACAGAGTCCCAAATCTCTCGGCCCCGGACACCGCCGCCGGCGAACCATGGATTCAAATCCCTCCGGAACACCCCTTTGTCAGCCACACGATCTCGACGGAGTCGACCGCAGGCGAATCGTCGGAGCCTTCCAGTCAGCAGAGGCCTGGGCCGCAGACGCACACTGCCACGCCTCAACAGCAGCACCAAGCCCTGCCGCGGCCGGTTGACACACCATCTGACTCCGGCACCTACTCGTGCCCGTACCAGGATTGCCACCTGAGATTCGACACACAAGTCGAACTTAAAAACCACAAGAAAGGTCATAGGCCATCGTCATCGGGAGGGGCAAGCGTGGTCGTGCGCAGCTCGCAAGCTGGGCCGCACCGATGCGACCGAATCAATCCTGGCACGGGCAAGCCTTGCAACTCAATCTTTTCTCGGCCCTACGACCTTACGCGACACGAGGATGCTATTCACAACCCTTGTAAAGAAAAATTTCTTTGCCATTCGTGCGCGAGGCCTTTTACACGGCACGACGCGCTGACGCGACATCAGCGGGCCCGACATAGGGGTTGAGAATCGACAAATGACCGACAAAGACTAAGGGGAAGGTTTGGGAGACAGTTAGTCGAGCGCTGCAAAGGAACAGTCCTTTTTCTGAGTTTCCTGTGTTACAGTAGAAGGGGGAATGATGTTGTGTGGGAAGCGAGTAAGAAGCTATTAAGCTTGAGAGATCACGATTGGTCAATAACTTTCGCCACTCTTTCATTTGGTTCGCTGGTGAGACTGTGTTTCAATTGGCCCAAATCAACGACGCTAATCCGAACTGTCAGGACTAGAACCATTTTGGCAGTTATGCAACCTACTACCGGCCCCTAAATGCTTGATCTGGCCGCTACTCCGCCCGTCGGGAAAGCACGCAACTGAAAAGATCGGGCCCCTATCGCTCTCGAGCGTCTGTAGGCAAGAGTTCTAGTTATGGGATTTTCCCGGGAGTGAGGAAATCCACAGGACAACATTCTCGGACGGCGGATTGGGTAGTTTCTCTTCTAGGCGACACAATCCTATAATTCCTTTGGAGATCTCGCGGATGAGGCTTAGGACTGGACTGCAGAAGAAATTTGTGAGCACGGTCTTGATTTGAGAAATACTTTGAGTAGCTCAGGCCATCTATGGCATTATCGGATCCGTTTTCACTGTCACAGACGGTCGATCCATTAGACACACGCGTCTCGAACAGGCGCAAACGGGTCTGGATCCGCAACATTGGTCTCCATCGACAAAGAGATCTGGATTCTCAATTCTGGTCATCATGTGTGTATAGAGCTCCAATGAGCTAGGAGGGGCAAGTCTAACAAGGCCCCCTAGGGAAGTCTTCGCCTGTTCTTGCAAATATTGAACCGAATCTTTCTGAACGGCGGCTTCCGCGTCCACGGGACCCGTATGCGACCAGTCAAGTACGAGTCCGGTCACTTTTTGCGTCGTGATGAACTAAGACAGGGATAACTACCAAAGTCGTTGAGGAGTGCTCGTTACACAAGCTTCAACTAAAACCACTACTATTGCCGAGAAAGAAAAAATCAAGCTAGTCAGAACGAACGAGGTATGGTAACGGTTGGTCATGGCTGGTGATGTCTCCTATTGCTCAGGCGGAAGGATTTTTTTCAGAATGTTTATCTTCGAGGAAACCGATTTTGCAGTCCTGTATACACCGCCGGAGAACTTAAAAGCCGTGGGTGGTCCGTCTCTCCCTCTGCGCGCAAGACAAGGGCATTACAGTATGTTCGATGTCGATATTTACAAGGAGTATAAGAGCCTTGAGAGACAGACTCTCTGCCAGCTCTATGAAGATGAAGCTTACCGCCAGGTTCCCTTGCGGACCTTACATCGAGAGTTGCGGGAAAAATTGGCAGGTTGCCCAAATCGCGACGAGCAACTGGCCCCGAAGATATCCCTCGCCAGATCCCTACGGAGTCGCCTCTTCTTCACCTACAGCAGCTGGACCTCTATTGCTCGCCACTTACCGATGATCGGCTTCCTCGCTGACTTGGAAGCAGCTTTACGTCCTGAAGTTCCAACAAATTCTCCCGCGGACGTCCCTTCCCGACCGCAAGTTCTCAGCTACCTTGGGGAGGCTCTCGACCGGGACTTCAGTTCTATGAGTTATGTACGGATAGCGGCAGTGATATTGCGGCAGGTTGGACAACAATGCAACTCGATCGCGGCACGTCTATCTACCTTCTTGCAATCCTCCTTTTCGACTTGGAATCCTAGCTCGGGCGGCCACGTCGATCTGAACCTCATCGGTTTCCTGGCATTGATGGTTGACTCGTTGGGAGGCGACTGTCAACCTCCTGTGGCCGGCGTCGATGATTCCGATTCGGGGGCTTCGACGGACGTCGAGGAGAAGACCCTCGAAGATCTTGACCGTGAGGCATTTTTTGGTGAGCTGGGCGCCATCGTCGAGCTGTTGGGGCAGCTTTGGTCGAGTGCGACCACCGTTGAGCGTGCCGGGGCTACAGTGATAGGCAAGTCTCCCAAAGTCACCGCAGGGGCGGCCGCGCTAATGTCTCGCAGTCGGTGAAGGCTTATGGCTTCAACTTCGATCCTTGGTGACTTCGATGGAGGAGGTAGCGCCGTCCCTTGTGTCGACTGTGCCTCCCGATTTTGTATTGAGCAACGAGCTGGAAGTTGCACGTTGGGTCCCGGAAGTTCCTGCCTATGCACCCGAACGCCATCACCAGGACCTACAGTTATTCAAACCGTAAGTACCTTGCCAAATCCACAAAACCTACCACTCTACCCTCAGACTTTCTCGCCCTCTCCTCAAAGTAACAGAGATGGTTGACGGTTTCACAGATGGATTTCAGAGATGATACGATGCAATGTCCACGTTGGGATCCTTGCCGATAGCGTCAAGGGTCTCGGAACTAACCCGACGGCGTCGAAGTTTGGGCTCGCCCTGGTTCTATATCTAGAGAATCGCCGACCAAGACCGACCAAGTTTGAGCTTAATATGGGTCTCCAATTCCGGGCCCACTACCTACTGCGCATCGTGGAGGCCATTAAAAACGCCTACTCCGCAGAAGAGCGCGCCGGAGTACGGAAACTGGTCGCCGAATACAGGTCACTGGGCCCCGGAGCGGATTCGTGGACCCTCTGTCACGCTTTGGCTCATGTGTCGGCCTTGATGCAGAAAGAATGTAAGCGCCTCATGACCTACCCGGAGAATACCGCTGCCGCGCACATATGGGTCCACGGCCGGGGTATCTCACCTGGTCTCTTCAGAGACGAAGTTACCGAACGGCTGGACCGACATGTCACTCAACATGGACCCTTACTATTCTTCAACGGCATTCCCACCTCCACCGAGGCCATCCGACGTTCCGTAGAGAAGTATCTCGCATTCGGCCCCGAAGGCCATCACTTCGCCAAAAGCCTCAGCAGTCTCCGGGAAAGTCGCCACCTCAAGAGTCATTACGAAGATCTACAGCAGGGTTCATTCCGGCGGCTCTTCGATGGCCTTGATCTTGAGAAGGACTCGATATCTCTCATCACCGAGATCGAGGACGCCGAGAAGGCGATCCCGGACGTCCTCGGGATCCACGAGAGGACCCATCTGGGGTCATCTATGCCCATACTAGAGGGAGCCTCCTCGGAGAACGTCGGCTTCGCCTTGTTCAAGATCTTGGCGACGCAAGCAAAAGAGAACGTCAGCTTGGTCTTGTTGAAGATCTTGGCGACGGACGCAAAAGAGAACGTCAGCTCGGTCTTGCTGAAGATCTTCGCGACGGATGCAAAAGAAATGGACCCTGGTGCGATCGCTCCAAGGACTTACTTCGCGCGTCACTGCTGGAATTGTGACTGTAAAGAGGCAGAGGTGCTCTGTAAGGTGTGCGCAATCTGCCGCTACTGTAGCTCTCGATGTCAGGCAAGCGATCGTACGTCACATCAGCGGTTCTTTTGGGAGGGAGCTGGCCGCTGAGCAAAGATTGGTGCCCCGTCATCCAGTTGGCTCTAACGGCCCGTCACTTAAAGTAGACGGGCGCGTTGCCGCCGAGTTATCGATAGAGAGAGAGGGTGGAGGGAGATAGGAGAGTGCGGCGGATAGCCAGCATTTCAATCTGGGTGGTGAGAAGGATCCGGTGCCATACGCGGTCAACCTAACGACGTAGGTGAGGAGCAGACGCGTGACTGAATTTATCACGAAGCGTCCGGTGCCAAGTTTTGGCCGTCAACAAAGCCTAACCGTAACCTGGATACGGTGGAGTGGCCCTGAGCAAGAAACGAAGACGAAGTACGGTACTTAAGTCTAGTGTAAGCACATACGCGAGAGCGGCTTCCTATACCTCCTTCGTCATAGATCCTTCATTCGCGGTGGAGCGTTAAGAAAAGACCCGAGGGCTGAGGAGTCTCGTAACTGAGACGATCACGGTGAGGTAGCTGCGCCGAGAGATAAGTAGGTCTATATTATACAACTTCTGCCCCTCGCGTACGCCTCATGCGCTCTACTTCCGCTATTACAGATAGTCAAAAGGTGCCTCAAATGACCCAATTCTGGTCCCTAGACGCCTTTGAGCTATCGTAACGTTTGTTGTTCACAGGTACATAGAGTCGTCCAACTAATGGCATTAAACCGCGCTCGAGCAATTCTTCATACACCTATTCAATACGTTTAATTTCTTTCGGAAGAAAGAAGAGAGAAGGCCGAAAGACTCAACAAGAGGAATTTGAAAATTTCCCTCCAAAAAAGAGGGCGAAAATGGGTAGAGAAAAGAACCATAAACACCGTAAAGGCAAAATCGCAGTCTACTCGTCTTTTCCTACTCCTCTTTTTGCTTTAGTTTTTTATTTACTACTAGTTATATCTATAGGTATCCGCCGCTAGAAAATTCCTTCTTGCCTTTCTCGCGACCCTAGACCCCACCACTGCAAACTCCTTCGGAAAACAACCGCCGTTTGTTCGTAGGTATATGTCTTCTCTCCTGCTTCCTTTGGCAGGACGCCTCGGCCAATGGATTGTCCTGGATCTCTAGGTCCCCCTGACCAGAGCATAGAGTCCACGTTACCACCACCCAGACTTTCGGTTTCGGTGGAGGAAATCCGGTCAAAATTTGCATCACTTCAAGGCATTGTCACTCGCCGCGCATCCAAGGTCTCTCGTGACCGATTCGAGGCCGAGCGTCAGAAGTTCGAATCGTGGGTAGCAGATTTTGGACTGGACGTGGCGGAAATCGCCAAATTGTTAGATAATAATTCCACGGACAATATCGCTGCGGCTATCCCCGTGCGGGCGAGCCTAGACGGTATTGGAAGAGCTTTAGACGGCCTCGGTGTGGTGCTGAGGCGACGGTGGTATGGAAGGCACGAAGCACAAATATCTCTCCACCTCTGCGGAGTCCAGCCATGGCAGGCGCTACTGTCGCAAGGTAGGGATCATTACATGGGCCACCTTCTCCCATTTACGGAGTTGGTGGGCCTGATCTCAACAAGGTACGACCATATTCATGGTCAATACTGGCCGGAAGTTTCAAATACCGACGTCGGTAAGGGCGTCGATTTTGACGCATATCGACGGGCGTTCCGGGCCTCGATAGAATCTCTGGAACTGTGCATAAAGCCGGAATTCATGGATCGGAGTTGTCTCTTTCCCCAGGTCGGGAAGCTCCGTCAGATACTGAACGGTGAGCTGCTGTATTTATGCGAGATTGAGAGGTCCATAAAGAATGGAGCACATCGAAGGCCCCCAGAGAGGAGGGTACTGACGCATTTCCTAACGGAGCTCCGTACTGGCAATACCGCACTGATGGACGGTGTTTTGCCATTTATTGGGGAGTGGACAAGGGCGGACACTTTGCGTGCAGGGAAGACCGTGGCTGTGACCAACGGCGCCGCCTTTCTTGATTGAGGGAAAAGGGGTCGTTCTTTCAACCACCGCGCAAAGGGCTGAGCTATCAACCATATCCTCCACCAGGTTGGACGGTGAGATACAGGATTGTGGGGCGCGTGCGACCGAGGCCCCCGGGATTAGCAACAAACCAGCGATGCATTCCATACTCTATCCGGACCGCTCCTCAGCCAGCGATGCGTAACCGTGCCAGCAACGAATTCGTTGCAGCGGAGTGGTAGCGCAGTGCTGGGATGATAACTCCTTGGCTACCAGGGGTAGTATAGGTCCTGATCCTCGCGTTCAACATATAAATCCCGTCGCTTCGTGCTCGGTGACTTCCGACTTCGTCGACAGACGACGACAGTTTCAACGGATGAAAGACTTCTTAGCAACAACCCCTTTTTGGCCATCCTCGAGAGGTGATGCGGGCCGTGCAGCTCGAAAAGCCGGAAGAGAGCGACATGTACACCCGCGATCTGAGCTAGACCACGGCGTACAACCCAGCGGGCCTCAACTGGCACCGACAGACGGAAACTAAGGCTTTGTTAATTCGAAATACTCAATTAAAACCTCGCCACCCCCTCCCAGAGGGTGTACTAGAGCTCATCGACGGTCTGGGAGATCTGAGGAAATATGTCGAGCTTATGGTTGGCGTCCTGACATGTGAATGGGTACAGCGAAAGCAAATCAAGCGCAATCAGTTGGAAATGGTTTCAACATTGATTCGGAAGCTCAAGGCACACTGTCCTGTTAGCTCCCACAACCCCATCGATCACGCCAGTCGAGCTTGGTGGGGCGATTTGACTCAACTGGTGATCGCACTCTTACACGTCGACGAGGACGAGATCCCACTTGGCTGGGACCCAGTGGTGTACCGAGAATCCACCGAGTACACGGTGGACCAGATTCGTGAGGAAGGGAACGAACACCCCTCCGATTTCTGCCAATTCCTCAGAGAGATGATGATTCAAAGCCTACGACGCGATTCAATTCCAGACGGCCCTAGTGATCCGGCTGATATTCGATTCTTCCGCTCCTTGATGCGCAACGACCTGCAAAATGACCTGCGTAAAGCCATTTTTGGCCGGTATGGGGAAGCTCAACTGAAACAGTGGGAATGCAAAAGATGTGACGAGGCGCAGAATCACGGTCTTCGCACCTGGGAGTCCACAGCACAAGATTGTGAGGATGAAGCCATGGAAAGCTGAGTTGGCTCAACAAGGTACTCCCTGTGTCAAGAACAATTTTAAAATGCCGAGGTTATCCTTGTTTGTGAATGAGAGGTTGAGTTGACAGTTATTTCGAGCCCCAATGATCCTGGTGATCACAGTCACAGATCTAATCGATATGGTCAGAACCCCAACTGTGAGGGACTCTCTAGGACCACCGGTAGATATCGCGACACGGGCAAGAACCCCACTGCCAGATGGTGGCTCTAGGGAGTGTCTATACAGAGATTATCCACTGTGTTGGGAGAGGATCTAGGACGAAGTCTGCAGCCCAACGATCTGGGATGCGCTCCGGTAAGTTGATGCGTTCTCCCAAAGCGGCGGTTGCCACCCGACCACCTTCTGCACATGTCACAGCCTGGGGTGGAACAAGATTGGGTGATTCATGGCAATCCTTCGGACACCGCCCAGTCTCTACACCTAGAAGATAACGATTTCCTAGATGACAAGGGACGAGCGTACGCAGCGTGGCAACGGTCGAGGGTCCGGCACCCTAAAACACAAAACTGAGATCGGTAAGGGCGCTCGATATGTGGAACAAGCACAACCAACAACCTCGGACTTCTTTTAATAGTTATAACGAGCCTGGCTACATGTACAGTATAAAGATAGTGTGTCACACTGCGCGGTTTCGTCGCCTGTGGAAGACATAAAACCTCCTCGGCTGGACCCCAGAGCTATATATAGAATTATTTTCGTGCAGTATTTTGTCAGTAAGCAGCCGGAGAATCAACCCCAAGAACAGAGTTCCTTAGCCGCATATCAAGAAAGCCCAAGCAGTATCACGCCCATGACGGTAAGGATTGCGTATGGAGGATCCCAATCATCATCTTACGGCCCTGTATTCCGCTGGACGCTGTTCGTGGTCAGCCCGTCAAGATTTCACTTTCATCTCCAATCCACGACGCCGCGAACTCGAAGTGCGCGGCGATTGGATAATGACTCAATGTAAAGGTGCTCGTGTCCCACGTGCATCGTTGATAAACACCGAATCATAGCTATGAGAACATCTAAGTGGGTGAGATAATCGCCATCATATCTTCTCATGTTCAACCGCTCCGTCGTGTACGGTGGCATCGCCTAGAGGAGGGTCCGGTTATTCTTATCAATGAATCGTTGCACTACGTGCATTAGCATAGTTCGAGCGATTTATGAAGGATAAAAGGTAATCCGCCCAGTTGATTCGGCCCTAGGCCAGTTCGTGTACCCAATTACGTCCAATTAGCTACGGCGGCGTTTGTCCTAAAAACAACGCCCAAAACATTCGATTCTGGCTGTCTTGAGGGTGGCTATAAAGTTATAAGAGACACGCCACTCCCAGAGCTGTCCGACCGTACTCCAATGAAATCGTTACCAACTCAACGACAGAGAAGCCGACCTCGGAGATTTCGAACGTGCGAAATACCCCGCCCGTTACTTTGCCCGAGACCAATACTTTCATCTCAAGTGATCTCGGACCTTGTGGTTTGGCTGCCGTTGCGATTAGAATTTAGAAAGTAGGATAGTTAACTAGTTACTGAAACATATCATGGAAGAGATTGTACAGTATTGTTGATTGCTTCATTAGTGCTGACGCGCAGCTCTAATACGCCTCGGATGCACGAAGATGAATTGAACCTTCCTCGACAATCTGATAAGAGCTTGTCGGACATAGATATTTGCCATAGGAAAACAACCTTGCGCTAGCGTCCGAGAACTAAGCCCTTGAGGGCGTACGCTCGTCATTGGCATTTAATTTTGCCTTGCGTTGTTCAATGCTGTGCAGGCTGGAGACGTACACATCTGCAACGCCAGCTAACATTCAACCCACTAAACATGTAATGAATCGTGGGGGGAAGGTTTACCTTTAATCAGCATTTCGATTCTCGTACAAGCTCCACCAACGATTGTTCGCCATGTCAGCTATGCCCCAGTTTGTTGCTTCAACAGGGTTCTTTCGTCGTCGAGGTCGGTACGCATCGAAAGGACCTCCAGCAACAATCTATCCTGTGACATCTGATTTCTCATTTGCGGGCCTTGAATGTGCTTCATCAATACGAGACCACAGCCAGAGAGCGATGCGTACTCTTGCTTTTAGGCACGGCAGACTGGCGTATCTGCTGTCTTTGGTACGTGAGCCCATTCTGCACGCTCACCGCTTGTTTTGCTACAGGGTGTGCATTTCTGTTGCATAGAGCTAGTTGTATCCTAGGCGATCGCCGATGAAGCTGCTAATGTTGATTTCAAATTCCCTGGCCACGTCATCCACGCTGCCGCACTTCTAGGGGACGCCTCACTTATTTCCATGCGAGTCTTTGTTTTAGGTTCGTAATTTGACAGCAGCCAACCCATAATTGATGCAGTAGCGAGCTTCTCAACCCTACCATTTAGTAACAAGTATGCGCCTAGCTTAATAGACAGCCAAAAGTGAAGCGACCAGAAAATGACCACCGAATTAGTCTCTCTAGAGACGAGATCCAATGGGTTTCATGTGTAAGGCTCACGCCTTGTAGTTTTGTTATCGCCCGGAAAATCTATGGACCCTCTAATCTTGATCGTGCCTTTGGCTCAGGAAGACGCGGTGAGCAGATTCGTCATCTATAAATTCCGCTCAGGGTTGATTTTTTTAATTTTTAATTTTTTTCATTTGGGTTTTGGGTTTGAAGAAACTTCAACCTGTCTTTTCAGACGTATTACCTACCAACAATACAGTATAGCGAGCGGGTATAGTACCACCTTCAATGAACCTCAAACCATCCAAACGCAATCAGAGCTCACTGTACGGTCCATCAACCAGATCGCAACGAAAAGGAACCTGCTGTAACTAAGGACACGAAACATCTTCAACACCTACCTAAGATACGTCTGCCCCACTTTCCACTAGGGCTCGTCGTATCCTTCCCCAAAAACCAAGATCTACAGGCGACCGTGGTGATTCTTCAGACACCCGAGGTAGCAAAGTAAGAAATATCACATATTTGTCACCAGATTTCCCGCCGAAGACGGTAATAATACATTGCGTCTAGCAAAATCCTCTGCGATCCCCACCTGAGATGGTTGGCGGAGGCTACTCTGAGCCCGACCGTATCCAGGTGGATGTTTCTGGCGTTGGGATTGGGCAAATTTACCTCGATGCTCAGCATATACTTGCGAAGGTATCCGAATTCAATGCCAAATATTCCGTGGCAGGCGGCGACGGCTTGCGCACACGGTGCATTGAGCGGTGGACAGATTTCAGGAGAATCGACTACTTGCTTGAGGGGTAAGTTTGCGTCTTCTCCTACCTGATATCTCCACTAGGCTGACATGCTTGGTAGGTGGACAAGATTTCTGCCTCCGGAATACACACTCGACAACATGAAGCTTCTAATTGATGCTCCTGTGGCGCTTATTCTCGCCCACCTATTCCAAAGGATCGCCCTAATTCAATTGCATGCCCCTGTGGCATACGTTGATCAGCTGGGAGGCTCCGAGAGAGCTGAACACCTACACCACGTTCTTTGTGTCACCGCGTCACAGGAAATCGTTTCAATCATCGAACAGTATCTCAAGAAACCTTCTGTGGAGATCATACGTACTCGGTTTTATACTCTATCTTCGGCGCTCACCAATGCTTATACACCTTTTGGACGTGCGGAATCCCATATTCTTTTACATCGAGATAAATACGGCTGACAATGACATCAGATCGGGATCTTCAAAGCCCAGACAAAGTTACGGTTCAGAAGATC